TCAGTAATGGACAGATCAAAAAATAGAAACAAACGAGAAATCATAGAAGCCTTCCACATGGCATCAGGGAAGCACGGCAAGTGTGTCAGTGATCCTTCCATAGCTCTGAACAAAAAAGAAATTGAGATGCTAAGACAATACATAACATAACGAGGCGGAAACCAGCACCAGCTTCAAGGTCCCCTCTCACACCACAAAAACCGAACGTTTATTAGAAAACGGGAAAAACACCACAAAAATCGAAAGTACACACATCTTCATGAAGACATTTACCATTATTTCATTGCGTTCGCTCCTTTTCAAACTCACGCATTGGGAAACTCATGCACAGAGAAGGAGGAAAAAGAAAAGAATAAACAGTTGTTAGTTCTGCGCCCATTTGTGTTCGTTGTGTTTCTCCTCATCTCAATGTAAACTCATCGTTTTCATTTTCAATTTTTTAATCACGCGTTTGTTCTGTAGAACTTCGCAGCGCAGCACGTCTATCAATGTACAACCAACTAGCCCAAACCCAAGTCCAAGCTTTATTAATGCTGTATGAGGGAGAGGGGGGAGAGGAGACCCCAGCAAAATGAAAGATTTCGGGGGGGGGGGGGCCCATGGCCCCCCCCCCCCCCCGGGCTGCGTGCCTGGGAGGAGGGGAGGGTACGGAGGAGGAGGGGAGAGAAGGAGGAGAGGAGGAGGGGGAGCGGAGGAGGGGAGAAGAAAGAGTAGGGGAGGAGGATGAGGAGGAAAGGATGGGAGGAGGAGCAGAGGAGGAGGGAATGGGTACGAAGGGGAGGGTATGCCCCTACTCCTCCATACCCTACCCTCCTCCACCTCAATAGCTGCACTCTAATTACACACAGAGGTTTGTAAACGTTTCTCATTTTAGAGCGCAGCTTTTTGGCGCCCGTTTCCGGACTGAGCGGCGTCGGCGTCAGCGTAACCACGCGCGTTGCATTATGGGACGCTTCCCCGCTAAAATTAGCTGGAAAATTTTCCCGCAAAATTTAGTGAGGAAATTTTTCCGCTAAATTTACCAGGGAAATATTTCCGATAAGTTTAACGGGAGATTTTGCCGTTAAATATAGCGGGGAAATTTCCCCACTATATTTAGCGGGAAAAATTCCCAGCAATCTTTAGCGGGTCAAGTCTCCCCGCTAAATTAAGCGAGAAAATTGACGTCACGTGACCTCAACACTAATTCAGTTCCCCTGCTAAATTTAGCGGGGAAAATGACGTCACGACTTCGTGTCACGTGACCCATGAACAGATTCAGCAGCAGGAGGAGAGGTGGAGGAAAGGAGGAGGAGGGAAGAGGAAGAGGGGAGGGTACGGAGGGGGAGGAGGGCATAGTCTCCCTTCTGTACCCTCCCCTCCTGCTCCTCAAAAGCTGCGCTCTAATTTCGCGTTACAGAAATTTGTTGACGTCTTTAATTTTTTGTTTGTATTAGAGTTTGTATTTTTTTGCATCTTTATACCCTTTTCCCCCCCAATCCTTCTTTTCTATCGAGAGTGACATGTGCGCCTTGGGTGTCACCAACTACATCGTAGATTCCTTTCGCATCGTTCAAATAAATAAATAAATGAAGCGCAACGTAAAAACAACCAGTAGCCGCGGCGCCAATTATCCGAATCCGCCATTGTTTTGCCACACACACTAGCCATGTATTGGACACGAGGGTTCCGTCGGAGTTCGACGTGAACTCGGCTACGACTCGGATCCAATCAGGAGCACGAAGCACCTGACTGGATCCGAGTCGTAGCTCAGGTGCTTCGTGCCCAAGAAATGGCGGCCGCCAATGTTGCTTGATGGGGCTTTGAAAAAGGGTTTGTTGATTGCCCAGCATAAGAGTTCACCCTGTGCGTTGGGTTTGTTTAAATGCCTGCTTTGTTTCTTAGACCAGTAGAAAAAACTTGAAAGTGATAAAATGCAGGCAAGCTTTTAAACTAACTCCATAATGGGAAGGTAAAAACGAATAAGCACACACATCGTCACATAACACAGCTCATTAGTGTTTTATGATGTGTGTTCTTGTCTGCTTCCTTTCTTATGTTCCCGGTCTCGGGTTATTTATTAAAAGAAAAACAAAAACATGCAGTGCTTTTTAGTTGTTTTTTTTTTTCAACGAGGAGCATACCTGCGCCGGTTAGTCTTTGGACCATTGATCTAAAAGAATCAAACGTTCCACATCATGTTCTGACCAGACTTTCTCTTGCTGCTCCAACAAGAAATATGAAGACTGTCAGTGGACACTAATGAAAGTGTCAATCACTTACCTCGCTGGGCTGACGAATTAATTGATGGTCGTTATCGCGAGAAATAGATGAGGTTGCTTTGTGCATGTCTCTTTTTATTTCAAAAGCGGGTCACCATTGCACCAACATACTCAACAAATTCTTTGCACGAGATCTCGGACATAAAACATGACACTCAATGAAGGTAGTACACAAGCACCAAAAGTGAGATTCTATTCACAGTTTACAATGAAAAGTCACTCTCCGTATTTCTTCCTGCTGACCAAGCGCTGATTCTTCCAGAAAAAAAAAGTTGGCACGATACATTCCTTGGCATGTACCGGAAGTGAGAAACTGCACTTTCCTCAGAAAGCACTCCAGATTGGTACTTTAAGTAAAGTACTTTCTCCTAAAATGCACTCGAAGCGCGCGTGAATTGTACTCGAAGTGATCGTTGAAGTACAAGGTAATGAGTACTTTCCGACACTACTGCCAATTCAAGGATACTGCGATACGCCCAGTGGGCTTTCCCTGAAATAAGATATCGACTCCCCCCCCCCCCCCCCCCCTCTTTAAAAAAAAAAATATATAAATCGCAACGCTTGTACAGGGTTAGTCATGCACCAGCAAGCGCCATCAAAGATGGCGCCGTTCCAGAGCCATCACAGCCCGTGCTGAGAAAACGACCCGCTGACGAGACAGATCAGCAACATGCCATGACCCGTACGAGGAAATACTCTTCTTTATGTACATAACGTGAACACGTCATTGTTTGGTTTATACGGGTTCGCGGACGCCGCCTTGCCGCGCTACAATTCTTCCCTGGGGATAAAAACAGGCGCAACACGACGGACAGATGATCCTTACGATGGTTCCAAACCGGGGAGTGGATGGCAGATTGCACCGCGTGTGAACAACAAGCGCGAGACACATGGACGGCAGAATCGTCCGATTCGTCGTCCGATCCGACAGTCCGAACGCCGCACGCCACAGTTTGAGACACACGCTTCCGACCTTGCATGCGACACGACGATCCGTTCGGCTCCGCCCAGGAGATCCAAGCACTTCAGCGGAGGTCCGAGTTCATAGCTCTCTGGTCCCAGATTGACGGTTTAGCTCGCATGAGAGCGAAGTTAGGAGCTCGTTCTCGCTAACGCGTGCATTCTTTGCCGGGGCCATCTTTCTCGAATGGGTCAGCGGGATCCACGCGTCCGGCTTCCCGTCGCCCGTCCCGTTCGTCGCGCCAGACCCAGTACGTCATCATGACGTTCGTGCTAGCTGTGCTGTCATTGGCTGGACGCTTCCGAAAGTCCGTCCGTCGTGCGAAACTATCTGGCACGTCGGACGCACGCTGGATCGCCGATCGGACGTCTGAAGCGACAACATTTTTCGGATCATTTTTCGGTCGTACATGTGTCTCGCTCTTAGCCCATCACCACCTCCTCGATGAGGCCGTCCCTCTGGAGTCTCTGCGTCACCAATGGGAGGCCACTGCGGGGCGTACATTAGGCACGAGCGCTCCGTCGGCGTTCGACCGTGACTCGCGTTCGGCCAGTGAGAACGCGTGCCCACCGAAAGCTGACGCGGTGCTCCCCGCGTCCAGTGCTTGCTCAGGCCTCCGGTGGGTGACGTAGAGACACCGGCCCGTGTACGGCCTTGTCATACGTACGAGTATATACTCTGTTTCACGCCAAGTCCGTGCGCAGCCGAGGCAGCGCCAAGAGGTACTCGTTGTCTTTGTCTCTTTGCTGTCGCCCGAGGCTGAACCAATCACGCATGGGGAAAAAAGAGATAAGCACGAGATCATTGCGCATGCGCTGTGCGCGAGTGATTTAGCCATAGAGAGTAAACGCACAAAGACGACGAGCGCCATGACAATGCACATTTGACTCTGGTTGACTGATTCCATCCAAAGCAAAAAGAAAAATTAAATATATTAGAATCATTTCATTCAAATCGGACTAATTCGATTTAAATCTCCGTGGCTAAAAGAAAGATAGTGACTCTTTATCTTTTAGATGTGGTGCAACGATTGATCAATCTGTCCAATCAGTGATAACATTGCGGGAGAAAATGCTGTAAATTTTAAGTAGAGTTTAATGAACGACTTTTTTATGGGTGTACTAGAAAAAAAAAAGAAAACAACAAAAAAAGAACAGCTTAATGATTTTGACTTGATCGGAAGAAAAACGAATTTCGCTCGTGTTCCGCACGATAGATATTTTTTCTCGCTCGATCATTCTTCGATATAAATACAAAAAATGCACGTAAAAACATCCAATGAGATTCGCAAACGCAAAAAAAAAAAAAATCTATTTTTGAAGTTATTTTTACAGGTAAGGTTTCAACTTAAATCTGGTAAAACTGTCCGATTTATATCGCGATTGAAACGATTAGATCATCGTGATATTTATTCTCCACCCTGGTTCCATCAGATCACAGTGTCGTGTGCGGTCAGACCCGGTGTGAGCTATCCATCAGCCCCGGCTGGCCAACACTACGAAGCCAATAGTGCACGCTGCGAAAATTCGGCACTACCGTCTTCTCGTCTAGTACGCGTTGGACTGACTAGTCGAGCACTCGGAAACGATCGCTCGCGTGTCGCGACCCAGAGAGAACGTCACTACCACCGCCGCGCATCGGCCTTGGTCCCGTCAGGAATGGTCTTGCGCGGTGGTCCTCGTTCGGGGCGGCGGCGGGCAGGCGTCCAGCCCCGCGCGAGGCCCGTGGGCGAAGGCGCCGGCCGATGCACGTGCAACGGGGTCGGGGCACGGGCGTCGTCAGCACTTGAACATGTCGCACAGCAGCTTTTCCATGGGCGTGTTGCCGATGGTGCGCTGGAAGTACAGGGCCTCCACGCGCTCTGCCGGCACGTAGCGCAGCGACGGGAGCATCAGCAGCAGGCGGCCGAACCTGCGGTACACGCCAACGCCAGCGTTGGTTGCAGTACGGTGTAGCAAGCTGATTCGATGGACGCTCAAAGGCCTAGGAGAACCGAGGAGCTTTGTGGACACCCGGGAAGCTAGGAGGAACTAGAAGGACGTTCAAACGAACAAGTTATAAATCAAGTTTTAATTAATGTCATGTAGCAGTCGCAACGATTAAAGCTAAAACTCTCGTTAAAGACAAAATCTTGTTCGGTGCGCCATTAGAGACAATGGAAGATTTTTCCAGTTTAGGATCGCGTGGAATGGCCGCGCGCTCGGACATCCCGAAAGTAGAATTTTTCGGGACATCGCGCTCGTTCTCGCAGTGTCTCGAGGAGCAATCAACTTATACTTTAATCGAGTCTCTTTCGAAATTTTTGTTTCCTCGTCTCCCCGCATCGACAGCCGACTGAGGCTGCCCTCGCGTCTTCGTGACTAAAGCGCGTGGTTTTTGTTCGGTGAGCAGACGTATTTTTATTCCCGCTATACGCCTTCTCGAGGTACTGTTGGCGCCTGTGCTTCCGTTAGCCGCGATACACACCGGCTGAGGTAGCGCAGCCACACCGCACAATCCCGAGATGCTGAACCAGATTGCTGTATCCAGAACCGACCCAGTGCAGAAACGTCTTTCCATGCGCGTCCGGGTGAAAGGAGCCGGATCGCTTGGCTGCGGACGGATGAGCAGCGTGCGATATTTCGCAGATGTAATCGCATACTTGGGATATGGTCCACGGCAGGGTGTAAGATAGACAGGTGAGGAAACGAGAGCCAAATGAGCGACCAGATTGTGTCCCCCTCGGGTTTCTCTTTTTCTGTGGCGCCATCTGTGTGGAGCACCGCGAACTTTCACTCCTGGTGGGCAACCGGTGGCGACCGGCTAAACTGACAGAGATGGTTTCTCGTGGATTTTTAATGGAGGACTGTCGTGCTCTCGGTTTATTTTGCGCACTCTCCCATAGACTTCTACGCAAATCCGATTCCAATTTTTTTCCTCTTGCCGCAGCGCCATCTGTCGCAAATCGAGGGTACCCGCAAGCAGACGAGTACACAATCCGGTCACGGCGCTGCGGTAGGCTTCTATGGGCCGTTTCCCCACCTGTCTATCTTAAACCCTGGTCCACGGCCAGGTGGACAAAGATGTTAGTTGCCAGGAGGCGAATATGCGGAGAGCAAGTCTGCTACTTGCGCAGGACCAACGTTACTAGATTACCTCGGTTGTGCAGCTCCCGCTAAAGGGGGTACACAACCTTCCCTCACTTTAGTTCGCCTCCTGTAGGGTGCCTCGATAACGCCTCCATCCGTCCAGGGTGGAGACAACCCCGTCGGCGCCGCCATGTTGGGTCGTTCGCGTGCAACTGGCTACTCCTCGCCCAGGATGCGCTTACGTCGTGCAACTTCCATTACGGGTTATCATCTTTGTACTCAGACGCGCTTGTCAGAGGTCCTTTTTACCCAGATAAATAAGAAGTAAATAAGCGGATTAGACAGAAGAAAAAATACGACAAGCGAACGCACTTGCCAGTGCCCCTCGCATCCTATATTTGCTACTCGTTTTTTTTTTTTTTTCATACTAAAATGTATGCAGCACTTTAAGCGGCAACCTCTGTCATACTCTTCGAGATATCATATAGCATAGAATGACAAAATGTTATAGATTTAAGGATTTTTGCCATAGCTTTCTACAGTGGAGCAGCTGTTCTACCATTCGATTAGACCTGTTGCAGAGCTACGTTTTACATTATGCCACTTGTTCAGTTAGATATATTGTATTAAATAACGTTTGCAAACAGGTGCCATGTCTGCAGAAAAAAAAACAAGCTTTTAGCCTTTCCACTCTGGTGAAGAAGGAAGATCAGCCGAGCTGTAGCTTCTGTTCTTGCCGGTGGCTTTCTAGGCGAGCGATCTGCTCTTATTTCGCGAGGGAATCTGAAGCGGTCGACGCAGTGGAACTTGAGGCGATAGCGGCTTCGCGGCAGTTGCGGAACCATTCGCGCTGCTGCGCACGCCGCCGCTCCCTTCCGCTCCCGCTCTTCTTCCTCCGAAGAAAAGGCACACGGCCGACCCATCGTGAGTCCAAAGGGCAACTGATAAGAACGTAAAAAACGGCGCGAAAAACAGACGAAGGCGAACAAGAATGTAATCGCCGGGCCGCTAGTCGGCAAGCCAGACTGGAAGGGCTGGAAAATCTGTCCAGAGTTTTGTGTCGAAATTTATTGGTCCACGGACACGAAACTGGGGGAACTAGCCCTTAACAGCTCCGCTGTAAAAAAATTACACGCAGAAATAAATGAAACTTAGTCGCGAACGTATGCTGGGATCGATGGGCGAAAATGGCACGGAATCACTTAACTACGCCATTCTGCTGTACGCGTTAGAGGCATCCTTCCGCGCTTATCACGCCGTTTCGGGGTCTTTATTTACATACTGAAATAAGCGCAGAAAGTTCCATAAAGTATTGCACAGGCGAGAAACTCTCCAGGTTGGAGAACTACCCCCGCAAACTTAAATTAATCGCACAAGGCTAGTGGTCATTCCCCAACGACAGGAAGGAGGTTGCTATATAGGTATCGCTCTTAAAACACACGACGGGGGTGTCCTAGGGAACCATTTTCACAACTCCGATTAATCGCTCGATCCGATCGGTGAGGTAAACGCGAGGACTGATTTCTCAGCGGTGTAACTCCGCTCACGGAGCGATCGATCGGTGTTGCAAAACTGCCTAACATTGCGTGAAGCCGGTGCTGTAGGCGTTACCGAGAAAAAAAAGCAACGAAGTGCGTTATTTCTTACTTACAAATGAAAGGAACGCGTTTCCAACTTACGCTACCTGAAAATAAAATGAACGCGTTACCTTTATCGCAACCGTTAAAAAGTAACGGACGTTACTTTTGCGTTACTTTTCAAAATTACGAATTAACAAGTTGTACTCGCCAAATAAAATAAAATATGTCCAGCCAGACACTACATGATTAAGAAAGCCAAAAAAAAAAAATTGACGTGTATTTTTTTTAAGTCTTGGGAAGAATAAGTAAGGAGTAACGTAACTACGTTACACGTTAGTCGAAATGAGCAACGTAAGTACGTTACCTTTTGCCGTTTTGGAAATGTAACGAGTACGGTACAAGGTACCGGTAACGCCGTCACTTGTAACGTGTTACCGACAGCACTGCATGAAGCACCTGTAAGCAGAAATCGGACGTGCTTTTGCAAATTACCTCGCCAATCTTCGAGTTCTCAGTAGCCCTTCAGGGATCGCGGTTGACTAAGGGATTCCCATTTTCTTCTTCGTGCCTTTATTCAGGGAAGCGAAAACATCGGAGTATCTTTTCCCATGAACCCACCTACAGCGCCACACAACAGCCCGTCATGCTAGTGCATGGACGATCTCGTCTTCACCATAAGACAGTTCAAGTGCATGACGCAACTGCTAACGAGATCAAATCGATTTTTTTTTAAATTACGGCCCTGTTGCGCGGTCATCTGCACACGTAAACTCCGCCGACCCAATATGGCGCCGCGGCGCGGGTCAAAAGGTGTCCCTACCCTGCAAAACGGCGCTGACGTCGAGGCACCCTAGTCTCCCGCATAGCCTGCCGCAGAGCCGTGTAGAGAGAGAGAGTTTGGTTAATGGGAGGCGCGGGCAGAGCGGCAGAGCCAGGTCGTGCACCGGACGCAGAAAGAGGGCTTGACATGCTCTCTTGGCCAACCAGAAGCCGAATAGAATCCCCTAGCGGCGGTAACGAGAAACAGTTTTTATAATAGGCATATGGTTTTTAGGGGTGTCGCGAACTTATATCGACCGGATTTTTTGGTTGAACTTTCGGGGTTCGACTGGGTCGAACCGGTTCGACGAACCTTCGACCTTTTCACCAAATTCGACTGGTTCGACTTTGTGGACAGTTTGGCCAGACCTTGATACAAGCATGTCTAGGATTGGAGATCTTTTTTTTTTTTTTTACACAAAGGGTTATTTCATTTTATAAACAGTTGCAATTAAAATAAACACATTCTAATGACTGAATAAGTTAATAACTTAATTTTTTGTACTATATTAACTGAAATAACCAATCAGCGCCGCCCTTAATTAATATCTTAGCCATCACCATCCAATCCGAAGCCAAATGGCCAGCCTGTCGCGCATGCGCACACAAGTCGAACCTCAATACAAGGTTCGTCGAACCTTCCACCAAAAGTTCGAAAACGTCGAACCTGGTCGAACTCGTACCTCGGCCGGTTCGCGACACCCCTAATGGTTTTAATAAGCGTGTAAGAGTTAAATGTAGTAACCCTTCGTGTTTGAAAATAGGGTGCACGTGATGTGTGCCGCTCGAACTCTGTTTTGCTCGGACAGAGCGTGACCGCCCGGACGGCAGATTCCCGGCCCTCGGCGCCTGGCGTACGGATTATGTCGATCCTTCCGCTCGTCGCACTCTCCCACCATAATTTTGGATGACCGTGAGTAAAACATCACGTGCACCATATTTTCAGTCACCGAGAAACTCCGATGCACCTATCAAATTTGTTTCTCGCGATCACCGCCAGGGTATTATTTCCGGCTTCTGGTTGGCCACATTCGAATTTACGAAGAGGCACTGGAATACGCCCAGCCCGCTCTCCCGCTTTCGGCCAATGGCGCCTCCTGATTTGTCTTTCATAGTTTCCAATGAATGGCCAAACTCCGTACATATACGGCTCTGGCCTACCGTCGTTTGAAGCGCCATCTAGATTTTCGTTATATAACTGTGCGTTCCATAGAGCTAGAGTTCCTCTATAGGCTCCCTACGGGAGCCTATACCGTAGGTAGCTATACAGGAACTCTACATAGAGCAGAGCTGGAGCGCCATCTAGACGCTGTGCTTCGAAAGTTACGTAATCCATAGAACACACTGCAGTTAGCATAGCAGCCGTCCGGCGGGTCGAACGACGTGAGGGGCGAGTCGTGGTGAGTGAGAAGGGGATACTGCTCGTGCAGGTATGGGCGGTTCCGCAACTGAGCTAATCTAATAACGTTGCGCAGGAATTGCGGTGACGTCTGAACGACACCGAGCTCTGAATGGCTTTGATTGAAAGGATAGTGGGTAGACCTCAATGCTAGATGCCTTGAGGTCTACCGTCTACACACCATTTTTTTAGAGCGCAGCTCTTAGGCGCCCGTTTCCGGTTTGAGCGGCGTCACCGTCGGCGTGATTGCGCGGTGCATTATGGCACGTTCCCCATGATGACGACACACGTGACGTCACGTGTGACGTCCCTGCAAATTTAGCGGAAAAGTATTACCGCTATATTTAGCGGAAAACTTTCCAATCTAAATTTAGCGAAAAATTTTCCCCGCTAAAATTAGCGGAAAACTTTCCCGTTAAATTTAGTGGAAAAAGTTCCCCGTTAAATTTAGCGGAAAATTTTTTTCGTTAAATTTAGCGGGAAAATTTCTTCGCTAAATATAGCAGAAAGAATTTCGCCGCAAAATTTAGCGGAAAAATTTCCCCGCTAAATTTAGCGAAAAAAATTCCCCGCTAAATTTAGTGGAAACACTTCCCTGGTAAATTTAGAGTAAAAAATTCCCCGCTAAATTTTGGGGAAAATTTCCCTCTAAATTTAGCGAAAACAATTTGCCGCTAAATAGAGAAAAAAAATTTCCCCGCTAAATTCAGCGAGGAAAATTTCCCGCTAAATTTAGCGGAGAAATTACCCCGCTAAATTTAGCGAAACGAAAGTTCGCCGCTAAATTTAGGTAAAACTTTTCCCCGCTAAATTTAGCAAGAAAAATTTCCACTGAATGGGAGGGGAGCACGAGAGGAGGAGAGGAGAGAGACGACGAGGAGGAGGGGCATACCCTCCTCTCTGTACCTCCCCCTCCTTCTCCTCAAGAGCTGCGCTCTAATTCGGCGTTACAGGGAGTTGTAAACGTCTTTCATTTTTTTTTTCAATCAGCCAATAAGAGCTGCGCGTTCTGACATCATCGCAACCCCTCTGCAAGAAGCAGACAAACTTGCGCTCCACATTGGAATGATCTTCGAGGAGGACGGCTTTCTGCAGCGACGGTCAAAGCCATTTACGTCCATGCATGCACTCTCGACTGCCTCTGAGTCGCCACATACACTTGTACCCGTATATATCGGTATGGAATTTGTTTCTTACGATTCAGGATACAGCGTTTTTAGCTGCGTAAAAAAGGCAACCCTTGCGTCGTCTTTAAAGGGACACTGACACCCCTTAAAATGTCTTAATTTTTTATGCCAGGTGATTTAATATGGTGTCAGTAGACTACACAATCAATATTTTGCTACAGAGTCACGTAGATATTTAGTAAAGTAATAGAACGCAGCTATTCGAAACCGAAACACGAGCACGGAAGCTCATGGCCGGAAGTGACATGGCTACACCCTACCGCGTTTTCTTTTTTTCCGGTTCTTTGCCGTGTGAAGCAGACGACAATGTTGCGTGCACCGTTTGTCGTGCGATTGTTTCGCACTTGTGTCCCTTCCGCTCGATGAAGCACTTGAAGATCGACTGGCCGGTACCTCGAACGACAGTTCCGAAGTAGCGGGCCCCCGTCCGTCGCAACGTTGGCCCGTCGTGCCCTGCCATCGCGTCGTCCAGCCCGTGGTATGCCCGCAGAACGTCGCCATATTGGCGATGATGTATATACATGTGCTTGCTGTGATCTGTGCAACATTTTTTTTTCGATCAACGCATTTGCAGCTTTCTGGAGGCCACAAGAATGGGGATCGTATTCTTTTCTCTTTCCAATATTGAATGTGTGCCTTAGATGACCTAGGGTTTTGAATATATTTGGTACACATAGTTTGAACACCACGTGATTATGAAAAAGAGAGTCAGCGCGACTGAAACCGGCCAATTCTGGACCGACTGTTTTTGGGCGGAAAGAAAACAAATTTCGAGCCGTAAATCGTGTTTGGGTAGTTGGGCTCTCATATGTCATGTTCAAATAAAAACCTCGGCGAGCGAAAATACCCTTTCAGTGTCCCTTTAACGATTTTGCACCAACATAAACCGGCAAATTGTGCATTTCTGTTTCCCTTTTGATACATTAACACGTTCTATCATATCTCCTCTCCTCTATAAACCCCCACAGCCATTTTTCCCTTTTCCCCAGTACGTTTTCTTTAGGAAAAGAAGTGTACGAGAGCCAAGTAATTTGAATTCGTTTTATGAATCTCGCAAACGAAGGGCAAAAACGAAATAGAAAAGGTATTATGGCGGTGGCAACTGGAAGGTACGGCTAGGCAATTGATCGAATAACCTACCCACTGATTAATGCTTTATCACGATCATTTTTTTAAACCGGTTAATTGGTTGGGTAGGGGTTGCGAAAATTCGCGGGGAGAAAAATGTATGTATGTACGTTCGTTCTCATATTTTCATTCTACGACGCACACCATTGGCTTCCAAGATAATATCTTTAGTATTCCATACGACTGTCATCCAGAGCAATTGTGAGGTTAAAATAATAATAAAAATTATTTCATAAAAATAGTAAAAAAATGAAAGCCGTTTACAAATCCCTGTAACGCCGAATAGGAGCGCAGCTCTTGAGGAGGAGTAGGGAAGGGTACTGAGGGGGTCTCGTCACCTGCGGGTAGTCACGTGTATCACGGGGGAGTGTGGTCACGTGATCTCGGGGGGGGGGGGGGGGGGTGTCACGTGACCTCGGGGATCACGTGACCTCGAGGGTCACGTGACCCCCCCCCCCCCCCCCCCCCGGTTACGCCGACGCCGACGCCGACGCCGACGCCGCTCAGGCTGGAAACGGGCCCCTAAGAGCTGCGCTCTAAAATGTGTTTTTTGATACCTTTCGAGATATTATGCCTGGAGGTAAATATAACCGATTAATCAATTAATTAGTTGCTTAAAGGAGTTTAATTGCGTAAAGGTAGCAATTAATGGAGTCAATCTTTTTAATCGACGCCTGTCATTATTGTTCCGGACACCACTTGCGTCTTGTCTACTCTGATCAAGTTAAAGACGCTGTTTCCAAGGTGTGCAACTGAGTGCGCTCTAGACTTCGTTTCAGCTTCGGTCCGAGCGCGGCCGATGTTATGAGCCGAACGGCCAATCAAACAGCGAAACAGGCAGAACGTCATGGCGTGCTCTCTGCAGTTGATAGGACTAGCCGGTATTCGCCGTCTCTCTCTGCGTGCTCCTCCGCCGGCTAGTCCTATCAGGCACAAAGAGCACACCATGATGCTGCGCTTTTTGCGCTGTTCGATTGGCCCTTCGGCTCATAACATCGGCCGCGCTCGGACCGAAGCTGAAACGAAGTATAGGCGTGCAGCTAGGAAGCTTCCGGAGGCGACATGACTCCACTAGATATGAAACCGGGGAGACTTGCGGTTTTGAGGGACACGCCCCCAACGATGCCCCAAAACGAACAAAGCCAAAAGACGCCATTGGACGGAAAAGACATGCTTGGACACCCTTGGGGGCGTTCCCACCGACACCGACCTCTACTTCCGGCTTCCCTTTGGGTTTTCTCATTTGGCCGGCTTCAGCCGGTATGTCGCCTCTTCTTCCTCCTAGCTCCGTGGCTCAAGACGAGCCCGGCGCGAGCTCCGTACGCACCTGACGGGGTGCGTCGGGTGCTGTGTCTTCACGTGCTGCTGGAGCATGAGCTGTGCCTGGTCCTGCAGGGCCTCCACTTGGTGCGCATCCTTCAGGCCCCGGGAGTCTGCGCAAGAGAGACTCACGTCACACGCGCATGCGCACTTCACAACGGGGGGAGGGGGGAGGGGGGGAGGGGGGGGAGGGGGGGAGGACAAACACAAATCTCCAAACAGAGCTAAATGACTGTTCCGCGACCGAAAAAAAAAAATCCGCCTAGTTCTGGTATCGAAACAGGGACCTCTCCATTTCCAGTGGATTGCTCTACCAACTGAGCTAACCAGGGGCTAACGTGAGTAGAGCAAACGGGTTTTAACAGCTTCCACCAGTTTAAACCAATAATTGTAAACCGCCTGCATTTTAAGGTTATGATTATAATGAAATTATTGCAGAGGTGCAAGCAAGCTGGACAAGAATGACGATAATGATAATCCCCGGAGAAGGGGGACAAGGGGGACAGAGGACAAGCCCAAATCTGTCATGTGACGCGACAGAAAAAAAAAAAAAAAATCCCCCTGGTCCTGATATCGAACCAGGGCCTTCTCCATTTCGAGGGGAGTGGCCCCGTTCGCTCTACGGACATCTAACTCCTGGCCAACTCAGTTGGTAGAGCGCTCCACTGGAAATGGAGAGGTCCCTGGTTCGGATCAGGCGGATTTTTTCGGTCGCCGCACCAGTCCCTTAGCTGCGTTTGGGGATTTGTGTTTGTGCTGTCTCTCTTGTTCCCCTTCTCCAAGGATCATTATCATCATTATTCTTGTCAAACTCGTTTGACTTAATTGGATTATCATCATTCATTCTTTCGTTCGTTGTTATAGCTACTCAAAGCGAATGTCACTGTATGCATCACACCGGAGGCGTTACGTACGTGACGCAAGTCTACAACGTCAGGATATGTGTTCCCTTCTACTCGACGCGCGAGCGAAGTCGAAGACACGAGCGCATTGCCCTGAATGATGCACTGCGCGAGCGCGCGTGCTTTATCAATTCTAATTAGAAGGCGAGACCTGCGCTTCCTCCCCCCTAACGTCATCACTTGTGGATCCACGCATCGCCTCCTAGCGCGCGAGACGCACGTGCCTGCCGCTTCGCGGCTAGTCTCGTCGAGCTTCTGGGTGTTTGCCGCTTGAGGCGGGTTGGTCGGAGATACACTAGCAATGACGTCATGCGCAAGCCATGTCTTCCAGGTGGCATCGGCATGACAGGGACGCTGAAAACCTGAAACTCGCTCGTGTAGCTCTTGCTACGCTCGCGCCCGAAGTGAAACCAAGTATACATAAACTCAGCTTTGTTACGTCACGGCGCGGTAGTGGCGCGTCGGGCGCACTTCCGGTCTGGGGCTGTGGGCGGAAGTCACCATGCGGGACGTGCATTCCTGTGTTGTTCTGGAAGATACCGGACAAACACCTGCCTTCTCGTCAAAACACTACGACTGGGGCTATACCAAAAGAGCCAGGAGAGGTTTGAAGGTGCGTTTTCATGTGATTTCTGCCTGCTCGGTTCGTCCAAGAACGTTAATAAGTGCCGTAAAAAAACAAGAAAGAAAAAAGCAGACGCCGTCGGGCCACGATTGCCTGTGCGGGAAGGCTTTGGGTTAGATATTCACTAAGACTTGTGGCCGTCAGATCTATTTGTTTTGTTCCAACATGATCTCGGGGAATCCACCAAGCTATACGGACCACCTGCGGACTACCTTTAGTGTGTCTTCAAGTTCAAACGGCCAAACGGCTGCCTGATCGTTCGAACTGTCGTCTGCTCGTTCAAATGACAGCAACCCGTAGACCAAACGTTGACCCAGTAATTGCGACAAAAAGTAAGTGCAGGCCTTTTTCTTTTAAATTTGAAGGCTGGTTGGCGTAAGTACGCTCAGCTTAAACAGGGGATACAAGGAGATTTGATCATTGTTACTAGTGGCCATTACAGACTTGTTATGCCCGATTCACTCGGTCCGATTCTTCTTGCGATTTTCAGCATCGACGTCGACCATCTCAGCTACGCGGTCTACGCTTTTACTGCTCGAGCGACGTCGTGACTTAAAATAACGAACAGAATCTCATCATGCGAATCAGACTTTAGCACTCATTCTTTGGCGTACACGAGGAGCGAATCGCCGCATGTCACAATACTTACGCCAAGTTTTGGGGTGTAACAAGCCTCGTTAATTTCGCTGAGGCCGCTCAAGTAGTCAGGCATTGCTAGGAAGACGTGGAATCAACAATTCCAACGCGAAAAAGAGCACGGGGACTCACACCGACGCCGACAACATCGCCTTCCTATGGTTTGTTTATAGGCGACGGCGAGCTTCGTACCCACCCTCCATCGCGCATGCGCGGCGTCGCTAGCGTACGCTAGGGGCGCTCCGGCTTGTTTATAACCATGAGTTGGTCTATAGAAAGTAGTGTGATCCTGAAACATCGCGAATGCCGGGTGATTCCAGGCCAACCAGTCCCCGTCCGACACTGACCGGCCTTGAAGAGCAGGATGGCCTTGAGGCAGGCGAACTCTGCGGGGTCGACGCCGATGGCCCTGAAGCGGGCCAGAAGTTCCTGGAGCAGTCGCACGTCGGCCAGCGGCGCCTTGGGGCCCGGGTTGGCCGGATGCGCTGCCAGGGCCGCGTGCTCCGCCGGGGAAAAGAGCGGGCTGGCCTCCAGGGGAAGGCACCACTGGATGGCGCACAGGAGGAACAGCTCCGACCAGGTCTCCTCCAGGAGGATCACCTGCGGACCCAGGAGGGACCTTCGGTACGCGGCCTCTAGCGAACCAACGTGGCGCCATACGCTCGTTGATTGGTACATTTCGGGTGGTTTGTGAATGCTCAAGTTAGTGTAATGATGTAAACGAGTTCAGGCAAGTTTTGGAAATAAGAATAGGGCACATGAAGGCGCACTTAGATTTGCTGTAGCCGCCTCGGTGGCTCCGAGACAATACGCTGTGGATCCCTAGGCGGCGGGTTCGGTGCCTGCAATCTGACGCAGGCTTATGGTTTCACGTCTAAACATCCCACTATGGCTTAAATTAATCATCAGTCCTACTGTGAGGTGTGTCAGATGCCCTTCAATGGTTTGGCTCGTAAAACCCACCGATTTTGACTTACTTTGTTGTATACATAGCCTTTACCTTACGTAATTTAACCATGATCCTGGTCATTCCTTCTTGCTCTTGCCGAGAAAAAAAAACATATTCGTTGGTGCGAAATGTATACTGCAGAAGGTACGCGCTCAGCAGCGAGGCTACCACAACGGTCGCTGCTGTTACATCAGTGCAAGTGCATATATATATAACAAGACACACACACCGCAGACTGGAGTCAGTCAAGAAGCATCGATGGCTATGCGGAATCCGGTATAGCCTACCCACCTGGTCCCTGAAGGGCAGGTTGGAGAAGGAGGGCAGGTTCTTGGCCCACTTGACGGCCATGAAGAGCAGCCTAGCCGACGTCTCGTACACGCTTTCCTGGGTCACCGGGTACAGCGGGAACTCCCCGTAGCCCGGTCCGGGCGACTGCTGCACGCCGCCCTGGTGCAAGGGCGTCTGCTGGCAGAGTAGGGGACCTGACGAGAGGCCCGCCGGAGACCGCCGGGCCCCCGCGGACTCAAGGCTCAGCAGGTCCTCGCGGCAGCCTCCGGACTCTGACGTGTCCTCTGTGGTGGAACAAGAGGGGTCTACTCAGAGCGCTTTTTCGACCCGCACCTTCGATGGCCTGCAACTTCAACCTCACATGGCTGAAGTTGAGGTTAGGCCTCCCCTCCAGTCGACCCCGAAATTTCTATACATCATCGCATTGGTTGTCTGAAGATCCGTGAGAGTTCCGGGTGGGTGTTTCCTCTTCCAGTGCCTGAGAAGTCGTGGAAAGAAACAAGAACATTTGCCAGACACAGCTATCACGCCCTTGCTCAGAATTTTTGATCTGGAGTATCCTGCTAGCATGGACTTCCTGTCTTTCGCCCTCAGAAAGATGAGCGGAATGCATGATGCCGATGCTAACAGGTTACGGTGCTCCTCTTGCGCCTCTGGCTCACACTTGAGTGTACAAAAGGAGCGACACTCTGGAGTCTCACATAAGAGCACTGAGTTTTTCTCGTTCATGTTCTATGACTTGTGCTTGCCCTCTTCGAGGTCGACGACTTAGTTCTTGTCTTTAGTTAGGGCCAGCGAAGGAGAAGGGACAGTCTTCTGTCTTTCAACGTAGCTACTTTTCAAATCACTGCGTCTGATTCACTAAAAATGTAAAAATAATGTTTAAAAACAACAGCAACAACAACAGCAACGACAACAACAACAACAACAACAACAAAAATAACAACAGCAACAACAACAACAACAACTTCTAACGGCAGTCTAATGTTTACCGTCAACCAGCAAAAACCGCTTTACGTCGCCGTAAGAATAAACCTTGCAGAAGTTGTTCGTTGTAAACTCTTTTGGCCTCATATCTGACTACTAATGACCCTTCCCTCACTCGTAGGTCAAAAAACTTGCGGGAGAATGCTTTGGAGTGATGAGGCAGGGCGCGTTGGAGTGTCTGAATGGTGCGACGGCCGTTGACGTTTATTTTCTGAAAATTGAGCGGATCGAATTCTTCGGATCAAGTTTCTGGCATGGGGGTTCTTGCCTGTTTAGTTTACTCAAACCTCCCGATTTCTTTGAAAGAGATGACTGCGTGCGCGGAGCATGAGTGTAATCATGATTTCTGACTCTTGGAGTTGGAGACGTTTCTCGTGTTTCTCGTGTTTCTCGTGGCTTCTGGTTCCGCAGCGGGGTAGGCGACAAATGGTTGAACCTGGTGACGCAATATGGCTTCCATTCAGTTTGCACGCATCCTGCACAATTCCTCGAATCGGTAAGCAGTGTTGACGGCCGCAGCTCTCCGAAGAACGAACCCGGAAGATGGCGAGTTGATCGGTTCCTGTGAATCTCGACGAGGTTTGATGTACCTCGGTCCTCGGCCTTTCGCTTGCTGCACCCTTATGTGACGACCGAAAGTGTTCTAGGATATTGCAGGACAAAGCTTAGTTTCGGGTCACAGCAGGAAGCTAAGCGGCGGCACCGGCGTCGGCCCTGTTCTTTCCACATGGGCTGTGTTCGGCAGGCCTGGATTGATAGCTTTTCCGATCAGGGTTCCTCTTCCTCTTTGGTCGTCGCATGCTTGCACGTTCAACATGCCGCGAAACAACAGTGATCTATACTCTGTTTCATCTTATGATGTACCGCAGGAAAGGCTACAAGCGCGAGCTCCTTGCTCTGGGGCACATCTCGGTGGCACAAGCTCTCGTGATTTAAGAGCGGCTGCCAACGCTATGAGCTCGCGCTTCTAGCTTTTGCTGCGGTACAACATAAGGTGAAACGAAGTATAGAGCAAAACCAACACGCGATACTGGACGTCATATTTGACGGCGTTGGTTTTGTATCGGCAGTGGCACGAGACCAAGACAGATTGAAGTGCACTAATAAATCTTTCGGTTGTTGTTCCAACCTACGTCGATGCTGACTCGTATGCGAAACAGGTTTAAAATGAATGTACAGAGTAATATCCCGTTTTTCATCTCCCAAGAACGACAAGCTTAATTATTATAGACGCTTTGCAGCAGCTGTGCATAGACGCCGCCATAACTGACCTTCAGTTTTTGTTTCCTCTTATTTCGTTTATTTCACTTCCTCATTACCATAACAGGCTAGGTTATTGCCATATTAGATTCAAATGTGTCCTTTTCTAAAGCATCGGCCTTTGTAGAGGATCGTCAACTACCGTTTCAGTTGCTCGGCATCTCGGTAAGACAAAAGAAGGTCAGCAATGGCGGCTGTAATTTGGCGCGTGTGTAAAGCGTCTATGAGGAATGCAAGCTGCGGAAGCAATCTGAGTACGCTCCACTTCACGCGTGCTCAACCGTAACAATAGAAGCAGTAAAGAAAGCACACGTCATTTTGATTGCCTTATGAAATACCATATGGTATTAGCCCATGACGACGCTTTCTGCACTGGTTAATTTGAATTTTCTCAATGGATTATTTTAGGAACTCCCATGTTTTTTTCTTACTACACCTTAAGGCCCGTGCCTTAAAGGTAAAATAAATAAATTTAAACGGAATACATTTCTTTTGTAAACCGGGACGTTGACAACTTCTAATGATTACAAATGAGTGAACTCAGAGCTGCATTCGTCATTAGTTACGATGGAATTACGCACTGTACTACAACACTCTGGCGGCTCTGTACAAGGGCTGCCAGTAAATGCTCTTGGCGTATTTCTTTCGGAAATACAGTGTCTCCTCGAAAACCAATTGCAATGTTTGATTACCACAGAAATAATCTATGCATCACCGAACCCAAGAGTAGCGTTAGCGGTTCAGACCAGGTATCAACATTTTTAAAGCTCACCATTATCTAATTCAAAAGTTGAGAAGACTACGCATGCATAGCTTTGATCTACACTCAAGGAGCTCCAAGGCACGGTCTGCCTTGGGGCAGAGAATTAGAGGAGAGAGCGGGGGACCAGACAACCAAATACTTTACTCTGGAATCGATGGCTTTGGAGCTGACAGCTTTTGACTGGTTCGAACGTCCGGACGCTCACAGGCTTGAGATTTGTCTTTTGAATCTCATATGTTTCGCTTACTAGCCATGCGAGCCGCCATCTATCGACGTAGACAGCAGTCAAGATAGCGGAGACAGCCGTCTGTGCTGTTTTGGCGATTCCGGTGTCTTGGCGTGTCGGTGGCAGCCCTCTCCCTGAGCGCAGCACAAAAGCGCGACAGCGTCCATGAACAGCGCGACGCGCATGCCTCCTCTCAGACGCGGGCTTTTCACGCCGATAGGGTTGGATTTGGCGCCATATACGTGCTGTCAAGCTCGCCTGAAACGTAATCTCCTATAGTCGGTGACAGGTCAAGACTAAAGTGGAAGCTCCTCCCACCTCTTTCCACTTTAGCAGAGCGAAGACTGGAGTGGAGGTCGCCTTCTCTCTAGCGTTCACTCTCTTAACGTGGAAAGGGATGGGAGGAGCTTCCACTTCTAAATGCGAAAACATTAACTATCCCATGGAGCGAGCCGACGTCATTAGCCGCTCCAAACGGCAGATAAATTCGTGAAGCCACGATCTGAGGCATCCCAGCTTTGAATCCGCGCAAAAAGCCACGCAAAACGGCAAGTAAATGAAACCGAAGGAGTCCGCCGTGCGTCAGTTTCAATCAGCGCCACCCCATGGCGCTGCGTGCCCGCGCCGCCAGCACGCTGGTAAAAGGGATCGGCTGGAGCGCTCGGGCGGAGGGACGGCCGCCCGAGCACGTTAAGGCCCGTTCACACTCTTGCGACCTCTTAGAACCTGGTGCCTTGGAACTTAATATATCTTACAACGAAAAAACACACTGACACCATCTGGGGAGCCAGTAGTGTAAACTTCCCTAGTGAAAAAAGTCATTTGTATGAGAAATTTCTTGTGTCCAATAAACGCATATATATCATACAAGATATATAAGAACATATAAGAATCATATAAGAAGTCTATGAGAACTATATAAGATATAAGAACCATATACGACACTTATAAGAAACTTCAGAAATTTCTTATATGGTGCATGTGTGTTCTTATATATCTCATATAGTTCTTATGTAGTTCTTATTTGGTTCTCTTATGGTTCTTGTATGTTCTTATATATCTTGTATGATTCATATGTGTTTATTGGACACAAAAATTGCTCATAAAAATGAGAATTCTTAATAGGGTTGGCGGTCCCGCATATTTTCTATTTTTCTCGCGCATTACCCTTTCTTTCGTGGCTCGAAAAACTTTTGTCAACGTTATAAACGAGCCTTTCTTATCGGTATTACGCACATTTGACCTCAGAAATCCCGCAAAACCTTCGCTCTCGTGAAATGCAGTTCCACGGTCACCGTATAGATGGCGCCAGAGTGCCAGTGTGTTCTCTCGTTTTAAGAAATTTTAAGAGGCTCGTCTCTCTCGGTCATGCTCGGTTGCGAGAGTGTGAACGGGCCTTGAGTCGATTCCTGCAGCCGATTCCGTGCCGCCGACAGAGCAGTGGCACGGCCGATATCAGCGAGGCGCGGCAGCTTCATGAGGACGCGCGCAAGAACGACATTCATGCTTTCGCATTCACAATTCATAAGTGCTTAGCTGTACCTCGAGCTCTTTTCTCTTAACCTGTAAGCGTCTATAGTAAAGCATTTGAGAGAACAGACAGAAAGGTGTCCTCACCTTCCTTGGCGGAGTCGTCGCCGCGCTCGAACTTGGGCCTGTGCAGGTCCAGCCCCTGGGCGGCGGCCCTGGCGTCGACGGTGTGCAGGTACCTGGCGGGTCCGGAAGAGGGCGGCAGGTGCGGGAAGACGCCCACGGCCGAGCCCTCGCGCAGCAGGCGCTCGGAGTCGGCCAGGGACTCCGGCCGGATGGTGGCCGTGTTGCGGGGCTGGCGCTCGTTCTGCACCGCTGCCACGGCCAGGGCCGCTGCTCGAGTCAGTCTCCCGGTGGACAGGGGGCGGACGACGCGAGCACGGGCGGGGCAGCCAACAGCTCTCCTACTCCGCTTCACTTTAAGTTCGAGCGTAGGCGACGCTACGATCTATACGCGCGCTAAGATACGACCGCTGTGACGACGCACCTTTGAAGTTGTCTGATTGGCTTTATCGGATCCTAGCGATAGCTGCCGTCGGACTTGAAGTGAGTATAGCGGATCTCGTATGGTTCGCTTACTAGCCATGCGGGCTGTGCAGCTATTTTGAGGCCAGCCGTAACCCAGTGACCTGTATCGACGAGCCCCGGCATTTGACTGGTGAGTCTTCAGACGGACTTGCGAGACAGCTCGACGGCCCCCCGAGCAGCAACTGCGCCAAACCCCCTCCTCCCGACGCACTCGCTCCGTTGGCGCGGTTGCCAGGGCAACGGCGCTGCACTTACCCGACTTTGGGGGCGCGGGAATACCGCAACTGCTAAAGCCCCTTCATGTTTTAAAAGTAGCGCAAGGAGCGTCGAAGCACGAGGCACGTGCAACGTGCAGCCCTTGGGAAGATCATGGCGGCACAGCACAGCAGTGAGCTGGATTTCAGACGCCATGTTCTCCCCAGAAGTCGCGAGCGGCACGTGTCTCGAGAATTTCCTCAAAAATGAATGGCGCCACTCTTCCCAAGATAAAGGGGCTTAGCAACCACCCGCGTACTGATTGTTCGATGGCCCGTCGCTGTCGTCCATCTACCTCGAGCCTCATCGGTGTCTGCTCACTCTATTCAACCGGCACTCTCGGTTTTCCGAGCCGCACACGCTGGGAACCTGGGCGGTATATGTAATCGTCGGCATTGTTGTGTCACGTTGTCAGGAATAGCACGTGACCTCGCTTCGCGTACCCTCCGCACTACACTTCGTTTCACTTATGTATTACCGCAGTGAAAGCTAGAAGCGCGAGCTTCAAAACTGCTAGCCTGGGGTCTTTAACGTGCACCACACAGTAGTGATATACGACCGCACGCCGGTGGGGAGTATTCACCGGCGGCCATAGCTGTGTGCACGACTGGGGAGCTTCCGCAGATAATATGGTAAGGGTGCAGGCGAGCTGGTGAATGTTAACCATGTTGAATAAACCTGAGACTGAGGCAAAAATGAACCTATAAGTTTCATTTAGTCTGCCTCCTTATATAGCCCACAATCAGCACCCCCCAAACACGAAGGGGCAACCTCTAACCAGTTCGAACGCCAAACCCTCCAATACACAAAGTAGACTATGGACGGCCTTCAGGCCGACGCAAAAGGATAACTCAACAGTCTCCCCCAAAATTTAACAAAAAGACCAGTATCTACTTTATTCTAACCAAGGTCCACAAGAAAAACAATGTTCTCTCCACCGAAACAAAAAAAAAAAAAAACCTTAACCCCATGCCAGCAATGAAGGGATGACACACACTGAACCTGGAAAACGGGGTAAACCATGGTAGCTGACTTTGAGACGTTGTCCTGTCCTTTTCTGTTCCTTCGACTTAAATGTTCGTTTCTGCCCCAGTCTCAGGTTTATTCAACATGGTGAGCTTCCACAATTATTTTCCCACGTGCTTTCCGCACCATCAAGATTATCGGTCTTAGCATCGTAGTAATGCGGGCTCGTTCTGAGCATGCACCTTGAACATCGCCCTCAAATATCGCGTCCAATGGATAGCACTTTCATTGACTTGTCTTAACAACCTAGTACGAAAAAAAAAAAGACTTGGAACAGTTTTTGCGGACAAGTTCTTTGACCGAATCGTCTGACATATAAATGCGCGCTGGCGCCATTTAAAAAGTGCCGATCCCAGACGCAGCACGAGCTCGCCGCAGTCCACGCAAATCACGCACGCGCTCACGAGAGGTCACGACCTGATCAGGTTCTACCGGTACCACTCTAGTAGACCGCTTCCGACGTGCCCCTCAATAAACCGCTCCCCTTCCCCCAGCCATCCCGGGGTGTGACGGGTAATCCCATTGCCCTCCCTGACCGCTGCTTTCCATCGGCTTCAATCACGAGGACGCCCTCGACGGGCGACAGCGCGGAGCCCACAGAGTTAACCGGGTTAACGCGGTCGCGACACTCGTCCTCGCCGAGGGGAGGCTTGGCCCGCGCCTCCTGTTTGCGCGCTCGGAGCCGAGCTCGGGTGCTAGCTCCCCCGGCGCCACAGCAGACGCTGCGAGGGCTCGGGAGCAGAGGGCTTCGAACACTAGGAGCTGGCGCCGAGTCACGTGATTTGAGCGCGTCTGGGGCTGGAACAACGCTGGTCGTGAAGTCGCTATGTTGAGCGTCGTGAGCCACGCCGAACGTTGCACGCTGATACGCTTCAGTCACAGTCAGCGACTACGGTTGATTGGGTTAAATTACCTCTTGTTGACGAGCAAATATGGACCATATAGCTCGCGAACACACTACATCAGCAGCGTTTCTCGTAAATGATGGTTTATCAGTCAACAGAATCACTTGCTACTGTGAGCTTGCTTTATTTGTGGGATTAATCCGGTTTCTTTTAAACTTATAACTATGCTTGCCAGTTTGAGAAAACGAATTTCGCAGCCTCTCTTTTTCCCTGTTCTATATTGTCGAAGGGCGTTTGGTGAGCAGTTCGTATAGGTTGGGAAGGAGTGTCAGCTTACCGTCCTTGTTCATGCCCATCTGGAGGCATTTCTTGAGGCGGCACGCCTGGCACTGGTTGCGATGCGCCTTGTCAACGAGGCAGCGGCCCGTGCCGGCCTGGCACCTGCGCGAACACTTCTAAGTTGGCGCCATATACGTCGGAAAGGCGTGAAGGATCGTAGTACGGTGGCAAGGCGGCATCCTTGTTACATTCCAAGTTCTCAACGCATAGTCGCTAAACTGCATTGCGATTCAATATTAAAAGCAAAGTGATATTGCTTCGAAAGTATCCTACTCACCAGCGCCCTAGAAAATGAGGCACACTATCCTAATTTATTTGTGTATTTTTTTTTACCGTTTTATTTTATGCGTAGATTATGATCACGCGGTGTCTCTATTGTGGGCAACCATCAGCCTTTACGTTCGTCGCCAGCTGACTGAAGAGACACCGTTTTTGAATGCCGCGGCGCGCTTCAGTAACAGTATATTAAAGAGCAGCCACGGCGAGTCAAGGCAGCTTGCTTTCAGGTCTACCTACTGTCCTTCAATCAGAGTCAATAAGAGCTCGTCGTTCTGACGTCACCACAACTCCTGCGCAAGAAGCATACGACTTTCTCCCCGCATACCACCCAAAAAGGCGAAGGTCTTTCCTCTGCCCACGTCTTCACTAGTGAAAGAGTCGTATATTGGTAGAGTTTTGGCCAATGGGGCGGAGCAAAGGCCGCCGCCAGCGCCGAATATTCCTCCCTCGGTTAGAGCGTAAACTAAAAGTGCGACACAGCATCGACCAATCAGCAGACCACAACGTCACAATATCGCAAGCGACATTTAAAGCGTGAAATAGAAGCGTTCCCCAAGCAGCACACATGGTCCTCCGGATATCCTCAGGATGTCCTGACGTTCCCGGGATCTTCTGTGGATGTGTATGGGACATCTGTGCTGCTAGGGTCAATATCGGCGTCTCGGTGACAATGGCGTCAGTAGCAAATCTGCAGCAATTATCGCAACTACGAAGTTTGATTTGGAGCGCACGATCGTTTACCGTTGAATACGGACGCGACGAAAACCTCACATACGCCAAGTTTTCATTCACCTTTATACCCTAGCGACGCTAAAACGGCTTAAATTAGTCGAGTCGAATTTTGAGAGATCCTGACCACCGCTAGGGGCTGTTTCGCGGCCTGTTGTGGTTGGCCACAAATGCTCGCCAATTCAAACTAGTGAATGGCCAAACTCTCCCAATACACGGCTCTGACTAGTCAATCTGCACAGCGCAACCTATCTTACGTCCGCGTGGCTTCGAACGCGTCTCGCATGCGTCTCACGACGAGAGTGACGCTAGCAGACGGCGACGGCGAGACGCGCGCGTCTGCCACGACCTCTCATTAAATTTCAGCGTGCTTTACATTAACGTCACGCAGAGCCAGCGGGCCTTGTCTTCAGTTGTCACCGACAACATAAGAAACACAGGGAGTTTCTTAAGGTGTCAATGTCTGTAGTGACTGCACGGCGTGGACAGCGTGGACGGCGCACTCGCCTGTAGATGAGCTTTCTGCGGACGCTGCGTTTGAAGAAGCCGCTGCAGCCGTTGCAGGCTAGGATGCCGTAGTGCTTGCCACTCGACGTGTCCCCGCACACGACGCAGGTGAGGCCAGGCGAGCCGCCGCCGTTGCCGCGCCGGGACCCGCTGGACGCGCATCGGGACTCGTCCGACGAGGCCGGAGGGCGGCACGACATGCCGTCTCCCTGCGTGCATTCCCGATATACAGCTGTAGCTTTGGGGTTTTGAGAGGCGCCCATGGCAAGTAAAGTCGAATATTTTTAGGTCGTGTTTCTTTCGCGCGTCACGTTGCCTCCTTTCACGTGTTGACAGACGCTGAGGGTCGCTGACAGACGCGTTTTTACGTCCGTGTATCCTGCACGATGGGAGGCTATAGACCGACGTTACTAGACTAGCTCGGTTGTGAAACTCCTGCAGAGGGGAAAGGGGGGTGTACCTTTCCCCCTCCCTTCCTCACCCCCTTCAATCCACCTCTCGTCTTGTTTGCTGTTTATTGATACCGTTAGCACGGAAGGGTCGGTACAGGGTGAATGTTTAGAACGCGAAATACACATCTTGGGGATATGTTATGGCCAGATGCACGAGAGTTTAAGACATTTTCTCCGCTCACAACACACAACAATGCTTTGAAAAAATTTCAACGCACACAACCAAACAAGCACAACCACACTGTTCACAACTCGCAATAAATCGCAAAAAGCTTAATGCGCTAAATCAGACACATAAAAAAGCAAAAGCAAAAATTAATACGCCATAAAGTCTAGCCTGCACTATATCATTTTCAAATTGGCTTAGAAAGTTCCCCTTTCACTACATCACGGGGAAGAGAGTTTCCATCCTTTATGGTTCGTGGAAATAATTAATATTATTTAAACATGTTTCATGCGGGTCATTAAGGGTGTGATTGGATCTAGATGGCTGCTTATGACTGGACGAGATGTTTGCGGCTTAATGATAACGGTGAGCGTCAAAGCTGAAACGATGTGAATGCATTGAGTATAAAATGTTTAACCTCGCTACTTTTCGTCGATTTTCAAGATGTGGCAGGTTAAGTATTTTTAGCATTTCAATAACAGAGTCTGTTGTTTTGTGCTTTGACAAAATAAAACTTGCTGGTCTTCTTTGAGCCTGCCGCTTGAAGGGCCATCTATAGACCTTTTCTTTAAAGGCGCCGCCATCTTGAGAATTGCGGCGCCAGCGACGCCCTCTAGCGGCTTAGAAAAAGAGATACGGGCTAGTTCTGGCAGCACAGCTATCTGGGTAGGCAACGGTGTGGGTATGGGGGGAACTTGGCTAGACTTGGCTATGGTGGGCTGCAATAACTTGGTTGGAGCTTGTCCGGTGAAAGGGACAATGAAGACGATTTTAATTAAATTTTTTAAATGGTGTTTTTAGGCTCCTTAGGAACCTGGCATACTGCCCAATATTTTATAGACATTTGTGACGCGTATCTCTGTACCTACGAAAGAACTGAGAAACCGAAACTGAACTATCTGTGTTTCTCAATTTTGGGCCTCCGAAAACGGAGGTGACGTAGGAGTGACGTCACATGTGAATTGTCGGTACCGGTAGCATTTACGGCGTCGAGACTCTGGTTACCGCGGTGGGTTATAGCAGCGCGGTGTTCCGCGCTGTGTTCTTTATTTTAAATATTTTATTTGCCCATAGTTGCTCGTTGCCCGTTTCGCGTGCAGTGTAGCAAAGAGAAAAAGAATTATGGTGTTTTATTTACGGTTTAGTTACCATTTTTGGTTCGATTTATAGTTTTCATGGTTATTCAAGTGGAACTAGAACAGTGTTCATAAAAACCACGAACCAAAGCGTGACCGAGAGCACGTTTCTCGTTTCGACCAATCGCTGACGCGTCTCTTGTGACGTCACGTTTCCAGGCCCCGCAGGGTCACGTTACCTCCGCTTCTGCTGGTTTCTCCCGCAACGCTCGGGGCGTCGCCTCGATCGATCCCGGTACGATTATTACCGCGACTGTTTAATTGATTCACGCGGCACACAAGCGCCGGTTTCGGCTGAAATTTGGGCAACGTGGCCTGAGCCGTGCCGGGAACCAAGTTCAATCGCCAAACAAATATCCGAAATTGCCTTCATTGTCCCTTTAAATACAGCTGGCTAATCACTGGCCATCACCTTGCCGCCTCGAGAGAACGAGAACGAAGATGGTGTGGTGTTTTGATTGAGCTTCCACAGCGAAGTATATATGAGCAATTTAATGTAGTCTATATACAGGGTGTCACAAAAGAAAATTTACACGGCCTTTTTTACTGCAAAAATAAACTAGGCATCGCCGAACGCTCATTCTCCTCCCAAAGGTAGCGCTAGAGGTCACAACCAGATGCAAAAGTTTCAGCCCGATCCGATAATTTAATCAAAAGTTATAAGTGATTTTCTGAAAATTTCAATGGGGAAATGGCGGCCGACGGAGTTTTCAAACACATGGGGCTCTATGGCGCTAGAAACCGAAAACGGGCAAAAATGGGCTCCATATTCCCATTGAAATTTTCAGAAAATCACTTATAACTTTTGATTAAGTTATCGGATCGGGCTGAAACTTTGGCATCTGGTTGTGACCTCTAGCTCTACCTTTGGGCGGAGAACGAGCGTTCGACGACGCCTAGTTTATTTTTGCGGTAAAAAAGACCGTGTAAATTTTCTTTTGTGACACCCTGTATATGCAGGTAAGCTCTCGACATTTGATAGCTCCATCTTCAGTGGTGGCATGTAGACTTTTTCATACCTTTCACATACCATGGGGCTTGCAGTGATAACCTAATTCGACCACCTGCACCGGGAATTAAACTCTGTCCTCTTGTCGTAGACGAAGTGGTCGTGAGCTTAAACGTGACGTTCAGTCTGATACGAATCTCCCGCGATTCAATCTCGCAATCGACTGACTTCATAAATAAGGATTCTTGGGGAAAATGCGAAGCTCGATAACATTGCAGCCACACTCGCGCTACAGCTCTTGTGCTCCTGGCACACTTTCTGCTATTGTTCTTATGACTTTTGAAATTATTTATCCATCCGACGACCACGCAGTAGTAGCCAGAAAACCATAGATTTTCGGAAATTGCAGCACGGTAAAAAGGAGCACTCGGAACTAACTCATGCACGACGTCCGTTTTTAAGCCTTTTCGCCCATATCCTTGGCGGTTGCATACCCTGTGTCAGCGGGCAATCTAAAAATGCACCAGGCCGAGGGTACGTCAGTTACTGGCTGGTTTGAGGTTATGCGAAAAAGGTCTATACAAAAGGGCGGTGAGGTGGGCTAGTTGGTAAGCATTATACATGATTAAATTCAACGAGAAACGTGAAGAAACTGAAAAAGAATACATGAGACAAAATAGACGCTCAACTCACGACTCAATATTTTATCCAGAAAAGGAGAAGAAAGAATATGACAGAAAACCAACAGACACGTGCTCATGGCACGAAAACTCTAGGGCGCGGGGTCATGGCTTTGAAAACGTTTGAAAGCGTTTGAAAACAAAACTTTCTTTTCATATAGTGTAACAGAAGGATGGATCACGCAGTGCTTCCCCAGACCTTGTATATTATACGCCTAGTAAATTTATCTGGAGAGTTTTTTTTTTTTTTTTTCATATCGATCGATGATAACGGTGCGGGCCAGTTTTGGATTATATGTACAGGCTTGACGGTGCAGAGGCAAGTGACCTCCCCACCGTTGACGTCGTAGACAGGTTATGTTCATGTAGCCTATCATGAATAGATCTTCCCGTCTGTCCCACGTACGTTCTTCTTTTTTCTTCTCTTCTGTGTGAAATATTGAGTTGTGAGTTCAGCGTCTATCCTGTTTCCTGTATTCTTCTACAGTCCCTTCACGTTTCTCGCTTGACTTCAATCACGTACAAGGCCATCTATATTTTAGGTTTAAAAGTGTGTGTTCTATATAGAGTAGGGTCAAGCGCGATATAGAGTTCTAGACGCTATTCTTCGAATCATAAGCATTCACGTCTTCTGCAGTGTGTAAAATAACGCTTTTAAGGCAGTTTAGACGGCCTGCAAAAAATCGGTTTCTTAATGTATCGCCCTGAGATTTACTACAAAGGTGCAACCACGTGGTGCAAGCAAGGAGTGAAAATATAAACAAAAAAACTTACCTTGTTCAAAAAGAAAGAGAGAGAGAGAGGAGAAAAACTTGTTTCGGGTTATCTGCAGCCGCATTCGCAGATGACGTCACGACCGTTGTTGCCTATTTGAATCTGTCGCTGACAGTGTCGGAAGCGGCGAGAGTGGCGCGCCGGCATAGAGAAACGTTTCCCAAGATCGTCTGCTACGCTCGGCGCCTGCACGCTCGACGCTTCCGACATGTGCCGGCGGCAGATTTAACGAGGCGAGCCCGGTAACTCGCAACGTGATTTGTTTAAAAACCAGCTTTTGCGGGCCGTCTAAACTGGCTTAGAAACGCTAGATTATATGCTGTAGAATACGCTGCACTCAACAGAGCAGCCGTGCATAAAACGGTGGCGCATTGAACGGCGGGAGACCGGCTGTGGGGGGAGACGGGGGGCACTGCTCGTGGAAGCGGCGTCTATGGGTAGTCGCCTAACTGAGCTAATCTAGCAACGTCGGCTGACCGCCGCTTGACATCAGCATTAAACGATCGCGGCCTCCTTCGTGGTCGGGTCTCGTGGACGCCATAGGGCCCCATGGCCGAGAGAAACAGGCATTTCAGGTGGTGTCATCCTGTGAACTTATTCCTCTATCTCGCGCAACTCAGTGGCCACATCCGGGTACACGGGCTCACAAAAGCAGCAGGAGCATCGATAAATTTGAAAAAAATTTCGCAGTAGGGAACGCATAGACGTTTGAAGGGTTAGCACAAAGCACCTATAATAATTTCTGAATTTCCATTTTAGTTTCATTTTGTAAGCTAAAGGGGGTGTGATCGAGACAGCTACGGTAACTGACAAAATGAGAATGCCAGGCAGGTCTCTAAGGCCGCGTACGGCTGCGTACACGGCGCGCTCGCGTTTCGCCCGCTCGAATCGGTCTTTTTACTTCTTTTGTTCGCGGTGCCATCTACTCGGTTGCTAGAGACTCGAGCCATTTGATCCGA